AACCACCTGCAGCAGCTTGCCATTTGTGCACCTGAGTGGGTTAATGCAGCAAACAAAATACCTGCAGCTGTGAAAGGAAGTGGCCGAACGCATGCATAAAATAATTTTAATTATTTTACACATGTTCTCGGCCACTTCCTGAACACTCAATCTTCGTTAAAACGAAGGTTGAGTGTTCAATTGCTACAACGTTCACTAAAACAGCAAGAGTTAACATCACCTCTTGCGACAAGCCTTTTGAATCTTCGCCAAAGAAAAGTAAAGAGGAACACGAGAGAGGAAGTGACGAACCAAAAGATGGAAATTACCAGTCGACCACTGTTTTTTCCGAGCATCGGCTCTCCCTCGCGAACAACCGTCAACGAACTCGAGGGAAAAAAACACAGACTTTGGTGAGTTGGCTCAAAAATTATAGTTACTCCTCAAAATTTAATTGGCCTAAAAGGGTTTCAGTAGATCAAATTATATGAAAATCGGGGAATTGTCGAGCACTAATTAATTAGTGAGTGGATGACACTGGGTTTAGGATTTTTAGGTTAGGATTAGGTCTTATTTAAATTTAGGTTAGGTTAGGATTTTTTACCTTTCCGCGAGCATCGCAAAGAACGTAATTATATATGGTCTTTTAAATCGTATTATCGTATTATGTGTCTCTTACTCAATATCTCCAAGTAGCTCCATGTCATGGCCTTTCTGCCGCTTTGCAAAGACTTCGTGTCTAAAAATGACAGGCTTTTGGAAATTGAAACGCTGTTTTCTCGGGCCAAAAAGTTTTAAAAAGTATCTATTCAGCGTAGGGAACTCTTCGTCGTTCTTGAAGATAGCGTTTCAACAATTTAACTGCATATTTTCGTAGTAAACAATCTCCTTTGGTTATAGTATACACCAAGAGACTATAAAGGGGACAGAGAGGACATCCCCCATATACACCCTATTCCATAGGTAATTCGTCTCGAGTTATTTTTAACACCACAGATCTCAAGGGGGATTAGACAACAGCCAATCACATAGCGCGAATGTGTTCCTCGTGGATGACCCACGCTGAGAGCCACGCGTCCTTCACGAAATGACGCAGGACAAAATGGGGGAAGACGCGGAGAGCGATTTTGCTATTCCTTATGTCGACGAAAACGACTACAGCGAGATTTCTGCGAAAGCTGTGTCAGCGAAACCGAAATTAAAAAAGAATCGCCCTTCCTCTCTTGTATAGAGCTAACAGTAGAGCAGGGAAATCCTTAACACACTGAGTATTCTCTCAGGATCATTTATAATTTACAGTTTGAAGAGAGCAATTTCTGATTTGATGTTTATTTTTTTCAGTCTTTATAGCGATTATTCCTACCCACTTACTTTGTCAATTGTAGGCGAACCCTCCTAAAGCTGAATTTCAAGGGACCATATTCAAGCTCAGAAAGAGAAATAAAATTTCGTCGTTGCTTATTTACGTCCTCCCTAAAACGCAAAATTACGCATTTTCACGTCGTAGTCGTGCAAAAACGGGAAAGAAATGAACAAAAAAGTGTGTTGCACGTGCGAAGTTGTTGTTTTGCTAATTAAACCTATTTTTTTTTTGACGCTGTAGTTGTCGTCCGCGTCGTTGGATCTTCAGGTGATTCCCTAGTTTTGCACTGCGCATCTCTTACTGCGCATAACAAGATGGCCGCCGTAAAAAATAGCATCAACCTCGTCCCCAGGGCTTTTCCCTTATTTTTTAAGGAAAAAGCCCTGAGGACGAGGTTGGTTCTTTTACTATGGAATCACCTTAAACTCCCTAAATTGTACAAACGACCGGTTTCAATAGACCGGCGAAATTTCTCATTTTATTGAAGCACTGAGGTTACGACAACTTCGAGTAAAACCGATTTCACGGGTTGTCAAAGAGTCCAGCGATTCCTTTTTCGCAGGTGAGCGCCGACTCATTTCGCTTCAATATTCAGGAATGCTCTCGATCTTTTTACGCTTTCATTGCCTCTCGCCCAACATGTTTTGCACGGCGTTTGGTCATGCGAAACCTCCACGAAACATCCACGCCTCGCGCGAGGTAACTTTATCCCGATTCTAAAAATAACTCGAGACGAATTACCTATGGAATAGGGTGTATATGGGGGATGCCCTCTCTGTCCCCTTTATAGTCTCTTGTTTATACTTTATCTTTGCAGAAGAAAAGAGTGAACAGATTTATCTCCTGGTTACGACGCCATTCTTGTTTGAATAATACCTATTAATTTATTTTTCGTTATGTTTTATTATTTTTTACCGACTTCTTGTGATTGACTGAGACTTTTTAAAGAAAACAACAAAATAGATAAAAACAAAAAAACAAAGCAAAACAAACAAAAAGTAATAGCAGAAAGAAAGTTTGAAATGTGAGAAACAAAATTAAAGCAGGTAATAATAGAATTGAAAAATAAGAAAATGCCAAAAAAAAAAACAGAAAGTTTTTTTAAAGAAGCTCTCTGGTTATTTCGCACTTTCTTATTTTCATAAATGAAGATGTTTAGAGAGTAGCCCCTTTTCAAAATCTTTTTTGAAGGTGCTTACGCATAGTTCATTGCGTCTTTCGTCTAATCTAGGTAAGTTAAGAAAAAGAAGAGCTTCTCATGAAAGCGCAGGTACAGGCACCCAGGGCACTGCACCCTGGTCTGCATACGTGACACTAGACTCTGAACTTAGGACTTACTAAAAATAATAATAATTACCCCGGAATCACCCGTAGAAAAAAATGTTTTTATGTTTATGGTGGAACACGCATGAGGGACATAGTTGGACCGCACCCTACAGTGGCCCTAGACTGGACTCCGCACTGGACCAGAGAAAGGACTCTGGACTCTGGACCGTGGACCATAACAGGGATGGTCCATGGACCCGGCATCCATGTTTTGTATACATCCGGGAAAAAAGGCGAGCGGGTGGGTTACGGGTTAGAGCGAGGGAACGCCTGAAGTACTTTTAACAAAAGCTTGTTCCGGTATACCAGATTCTGGTACACCCTAGGCCTATGATTGGTCTATTTTGACATCTCTTGTCAGCACTCGGAGGTTCATTACCTTGATTGGAAATGTGATGCGGTAGTAATGAGATGTTACACACCAAGTTATCTCGAAAGCGTGGTGAAGTGTTTCGAAATAAGCAACATCCTCCCCTAAGAACAAGAAAAATCGTTTTGAGGCTGGACTGATGTCGTCAAATGAAAGTAGGGCTTCGAAATTTTACCATTTATTGGCTTTCAAATGAGCTCTTTTCTTTCAGTTCTCTTCAGGAATATGAAATACGCGAGTGAATCTTCTATTGATATGAGTCTTTGTTTAGCCTGCGAATACAGCTGTTTCTCCTCGCTCCTCGCCAATAGGGACATTTCTTCTTATGTCGCTACTCAAGTACAACAGTTTAACAGAGTTGGAGTCGCTACAACAGTAGGGAGACGTGAACGATCGCGAATTGGCTGTGATTCTGAAGGCAAAATCTTGAAATTCAACTTGATTTGCCGGCGGAATCTTGAAAATTCAAGATAAACCAGTAAAAAACCACGATAAAAATCGTTAAAATGCGAGGAACTACCGATTTGAACTATGAAAAAGGACAATTTCACTCCTCCCATGGAGTGTTTTCAGAAATCGCTTAAGGGAGCTTGTATATACCTCCCTTGGTTGCCTCGATCACGGCAAAGTTTGAACAAATTATGGCGCGTTTTGGAAATATTTTGAAACAAAGTTTCAAGGGCTATAAAAACATTGAATAAATATGCTATCGACATGCAGAACTGGCTCATATCTAAAGAAAATGATGAGGTCTTGAAATGCAGTTTCGTCTCATAGCATAGCAATTAATTTCCGAAGATATCTCCGAATTATGCTAATGTAGGAGATCATGGTAAAGACAACATCTTTAGCGTCACTTTTTCATCATGTGGGACACAGAAATAAATCGCTTTGCAATAGTTATTTGAATTTATGTTTCCTTTTTGCAATACCTGTTTTCAGTCAACTTATTTAGCTTTATTTTCATTGGTACGGAGACCCCTGACAATGACAGGAAAGTAACTGAGGATCCGCTTCTGAATGCAAATTAGAACAGCTACTACGTACTGCAAATCAAGACGGATATTACAAATTATTACAAAATCGTCCACTGACGTTCTCTAAACTTAAGCCAAAACAGCTTTAAAACTTGTTTGAAGAAAAAGATGGCTTTTCGCCACCCCATAGAGATCAAAGGGAAAAACGTTTACTTCATGCTTGTTTAAATTCTAGGAAACTACTGAACAGAGTTGATTACAATAATTAATGTGGAAAATAAAGCCAGGAAAAAGAAATACTTTCCCTTGGTTTGAAACAAAAAATTCAATTAGAAATTTCGTCTACCACTACTGTTGACGTGGGCTTGATACCTCAGAATCGCCGTCTCAAGAGCAACTGACATATACTGCTAGGAACCTTACGAAAATACAACACAATAGGCTTCAGTGAGCAAAACAACAGCTCCGGCTGCACGTGCATCACATTTTTTTGTACATTTCTCCGCTGTCCGTACACAACTACAACGTGGAATATTCAATTTTTTTTTAGTTGACGGGCTTAAGAACTGGAACGACAAGGCGATAAATTTATTTACTAAGCCTCTCTGAACTCGGGCGCGGTCTCCTCTCTTCAGTTCCCGCTAAACACATGTTCCGTGCTTTCAATTCACTGAGCGACTTGGTATGAGGGCGAAAAAGGACGCGAAGTCTATTTTTCAGCGACGTTTTCATTGGCGTCTCTGTTTTCGGATAGTAAGGTCCCTATTAGATTGTATTCTTATCGTCCTTTGTATTGGTTCTTGTACCCTCCTTAAACACCAGTGCTTCCAAACTACGATTTGAGACAAACCGCCAGGGAATTGCCGGCCCCAAAACTGCCGCCCGCGATGCCTGACACAAGGCAGTTCTGCCAACTAATATTAAGATCTATGTTCTTCAGAAATGATCAAGTGGAAGGCTCTACTTGGTTACTTTTCCGCCTAAATTAAACCACCTGACTGATAAGCCTTTTAAACTCTTTCTTTATGTCTCTTTTGAAAAAAGCATAAGAAAGTGGGTTAATGGCCGAGTTTAAAACCAACACAGGAATTTTGTATTGTTCATCTTTACATGATGCATTTGTGTCGAATACTACTAACAGACTACAACGCAAATATATTCCGTAGCACACAACAAACACTCCTATCACAATACCCATCATTATTACTGCAGACTTCTCGTGATGGGTTTTAAAAGATACCCGATGGTTAAAACGTAACTGTTTTGCTAGGGTGCGTGTTGACCGATCATGTTTCCATACATGAAGTAACATTGACGCGAAACAGAGTACTTGCAGTACGCATGGAACGATTTCCATGAAAATCATTAAAACCACAACTGCAACGATACTGGTCAGAGGGGTCTCGCAGCAAAGCCGAAGTGCGGTCTTGAACGCAACCAGCGTAAATGACGCTATCCAACAGGCAGTTATCACTTGAATAACACGAGATCGAGTCATAAAAGTTATGTATTTAAAAGGCTTTACGATGGCGATATAACGATCGAGCACCAGAGAACACAAGTTTAAAACAGATAAGTAGCTAAACAGCCACCTTACGACATCTTTCCATGAAGGAAAAACCTTAGGCCAGTAGCAGGTGTTTGTAACGTCGCATGCGAACAAAGAAGGAACAACGCTCAAACCAACACAAAAATCCGCCACTGCAAGTGAAACAATAAACGCGTTGGTTTTGGTGCGGAGATTTCGTCTGCTGCAGACGAGGAAGATTGTAAATCCATTTCCAGTGATGGCAAGAAAGGAAAGAACCCATCCAAGAATCCAAAACCAGGTCTCCATCCGTACTAACGGCAGAAAAGAGAATTTCTTATTAACTACACAAATAAAACAAAAATATCCTCTTCACAAAAATGTCAGGAGGTTGTATGTTATTCACTGTCAGATGTATGTTACTAGACTGAAGTCCTTTTTATTGTCCTACTTTGTCATAAACTTGGTAATTTCTAATATGTGTTTCGCATGCGCAGTAGGTAACTGACCGAGCTGTAATAACACAGTTGGTAGGAAAATGAGGATAGTTGCGTGTCATAACCGCTGTAATTCTAAGCCAATGGGCGCTTTCAATACAACAAAAATTCCGGTTGAAATGTTGGAAATTCCACTTGCCCAATGGAACTACATCGACCCGAGCAAAGCCTCTGCGCGTTTGGTTACTGTTCCTACAAATGGAAAGGGACACTCCAACATTGCCGATCTTAATCTAAATAGCTCTGATCTGGCTGGATCTTAATTATTCTCTTTACAACTAAACCAGTCTGGTCTGTCAGTTCTAACAAATGGTTTTAACCGAGACCTGATGGAAAATGATACAATTAAAGGAACCTTCACTTTAGTCTAAATTGCGGCACATGTTTCTTACAAATTGTGACAGGTTTACTACAAATTACGACAAAAGTGCATTAATAAATAAAAAGACTGTCTCTAATATCACGTACAGCGCGTTACTAAATTTGCCTGAGAACGTTTCCGCCGTTGTCGTTAACCATTCCTAAGCGAGAAAAAAGACAGATATGAGCCAGCACTGCATCACGGTAATCTGCCTAGTCGGTCCCGTTTAATAGAATATTACATGCAAACGAAATTAAAACAGGTAAAAACAGCTCTAGCCATACTAAATAGAATAATTATGCAAAGGTTTTCAGTTAATAAATAAAGCTAGTCACGATGTGCAACAGAAACACAATGTCGCTACGTTTTTTAAGGCAGTTCAACTGTGGAAAAAACACCCTCTTCACAAAATTCTTGTCTAACCTTTATTAATTATTTATAAAACCTTGTTTTTTATAATCCTTTCAATATATATATATATATATATATATATATATATATAGATAGATGACGAAAATTAGCCTTGCGTTTGTGTAACCGGGGCGAAAAAGGTGATAAATTTGATAGCTAGAGTCCTTTTTCCATATGATAAGTCATAATTATTGTGCATTTTTTTCATTTCAAGTCACACCTGCAGACTAAGCTGAAATGAACTCGCACGGAAAGATTACAAAACTCTTACATTTCTTGATGTTTTTCTCAGAAGGAAATTATTTCATATAACAAGAATATCGTACAGTTAATCTTTCAGTTCGGTTCAGTAAATTCTAGGAATCTATCGCCGTTAACAGATCAGAGTTGATTACGAAGACTATTTAACGAAAAACCTCAGTGCGGAGGAAAATTGGCGCCAAGCCTTTTATTAAAGTCACCAAACCTCGAACTTCTGAACTTGTCAATTTTGTTTTCTCTCGTCAAACTGGTATTCAGATTGCGAACATCCGTTTCAGATTGAAAAACCGATGGTCGTAACCGATGAGGCCGCTTTACGAAGCGCACGGCTATTAAGCCTGGGTTCGAACTGTATCCATGCATGCTCACGCTATCTTTGTTACTCGATTGATGTAGAGTCTTGCTCGAGTATGCCAAAATCAAGCAAGCGAAGCAAAGCGGGGTTTCGTAGCAGCCAGTGTGCGGGCTTTGGTAGCAGCCGGGAAAAACTTGCGTCTCAAACCACCTGTGAACCTTGATATTAAGTCCTTTCCCTAATGTTATAGATATTCTCTGAGGCTCCAAATAAAGGTTTTTCTCCTAATGCGCCATTTTTCCAAATTTCAATTCGCTTTGAGTCTAAGCATCACAGATTTATCAGTCGTAGCTCAAGCCTTTTGCACTCGTTCATATAAGACCTACATCCTGCAAGAATGAGTAACGCACGTCAAGTGGTAGGCTTTAGTTAACTTTGTTATTTTCTTTAAAACTCAGCGCCGAAAAGTCTTTTGAACTCTTTCTTTATGTCTCTTTTTTGTCTTTTAAAAAAAGCATAAACCAGCGGGTTCTTGAGAAATTTTTCGGGTGGTAATGTGACGGTGGGACCCTGGAAAACGTAGGCTATACTCCTGGTTCAGCTGAATTTTGCTCACTGTACTAAACTAAACTTCCCTATACAAGAATTGCTCTCTGATTTCTGTACCCAATCCCAGACTTAACTGCGTGCTCGAAAACCATACCCTACAAAACGTCACAATATATACCATGTGGCAGTACCCTCCTCCCGGGGATTAGGTTGTCCACCGAGTTCCTTTATCACAAAGTTTAAAGAATCCACAGAAAAAATATTTTCGCTCGTTTGAGTGGGGCGAATATGAGTATGACAAATTTTGATAGCTGTAATAAAAAAATGCATTTTTGCCTTTCTCCCTATAACTAAAAGCTTGCTATAGTGAGTTTATAGACCTCTGACGATTTTATGTTGATTCTCTCCACCTCTTGACCAATAAAGAGATAGAGAGATATAAAGAGATAATAAAGATATAAAGAGATAGAAGAGATAATAAAGACAACTGTTTGCATATTTAGATAATTTACACAATTAAACAAATAATTATAGAAAAAAAATGGCGGAAAATTTTTGGCACGTTTTGCGAAGAAAATGAAATAGCCAGAACTAATTACTGTCCAAGACTATAAAACACGACGGATAACAATTTAACAATTAGGGAGCGGTCATTAACTATTGGGGGGTGGGGGGAGGGCTGGTATTATTTCAAAAGCGAGGGCCCAAAAATTTTACCCCCTCTTAGGTTAACAGCCCAAAAATTCTGCCCCCTCCAAAAATGTGTGCCCAAAAAATTGTAACCCTCCCCTGTAATAACATTTCGAGTATTCAAATGTTGTATCCTCGGAATCCATATGAGCGTAACTTTGAGACAATTTTTTCATTGGAATAAAAAAAAGTGTTAGTATTCACAATATTTACGAAGCTCATTTACGCTTCACCAAGTAAAGAAAACCATTGACAGCCCCACTGTCACTTATTGAATTCCTGTCTTCTACTCAACTTGAAGAGTGAATAAATTGTGCATGATAACTTGTCAGCGAATAGCAAGAGGAAAATTGTCTCTATTCACGGAAAGTCCGCAGCTCTTGCTCTACCCCTCCAGGTCCTCCAAGTTCGGCCATATCGTGTGGTCTATGTTGCATTTGTTGAAAAAGAAAAACGTTCTGTTTCTGTTACTGTTTAAGACTTACTGAGTTTTGTAAAAGGATTAGTATAAACTGGACAACTATGAGTTAAAAAACAAAACAAAAAAAACAGACAAACAAATACAGATCGAGTACCAGTAAACATGAAAAAATACATTTTCAGTTATAATAAGATATCATCAACTATCCGTGCACTTGTGATCGCGGCTCGTTTTAAGAAGGGCTTTCATCAAATTATCTGCCATTCAGATGTATTATAATACAGGAAAATCACCTGAAGATGACGTTGATTAAACAACAAAGCCAAACTGAAACCGTCCGCTATTTTCAAAGAAATTTCAAAGTCAAGCACATTGGAAGCAATTCCACAAGAAGTCACTGCTCATCTCCAGCCAATCAGAGTGCTTTTTAACCGAGTGAGTCAGCTTTGAGTACGCAATTCTCTTAATATTACTTGCACGGCCATCGTATTTCAAGCAGTGCTTAATATTTCAGTAGCGCAAAACCCATTTAATAGTACGCGCACATCGCCCAAAGACGCCTAGAAATTGTAACCCTCCCCTAAATGCGAACCCAGAAAAATTTAGCCCTCCCTAAATGGGAGGCTCTCCCCCAAAATTTACCAGCCTTCCCCAAATAGTTAATGACTGCTCCCTTAGTTCATGAGTCAGCGTGCGTATGTAGAGATTTTGAGCTCGCAGGAAGATTGGAGAGCACGAAAGAGGCGTAAGAGTTGCTCGATGTGCAACCGAAAGCATTTTTTGCCTCTTGAGTGCTCTCCAAACTTCCCAAGGGCTCAATATCTCGACATACGCACAGCTGAATCTTGAACTAATAGTTTTATAACATTATCAAAGCTATCAATGCAGCAGTTACCTTACATTTTCATTATTATAGCGTGCACTCAAAGCAGTACGCGTCAATGTCTACGTGAGTAGGTTTTTTTACCTCACAGTTATGTTTTTGTCTTGAAACTAAGAGAAAGTTTAATCAAGTCGCTTAAGATAACGGTCAAAAAGATTTTAAAATCCATATTGAGGTGCTGGAAAAGTATTGATTCACCAAAAAATTCTTTTTGAAAGAAACAACTTTGCAAAAAATGATTTCCACACGTCATAGCCCGTACAGCTCGCAGAGATGACAACAACAACAACAACACTCACCTCTTTTCCCTATTATCGATTATCAAATTCAATCGTTTTCTCTTAAATTTTCGTTGTAAAACACATGGTTAACACTTTATCGTGTACTGTTGAGCTATGGATGCACTTGAGAGACGTCTTGGGAGGATTGCTAAGCTCACAAGAACTCGAGGTATATAGTTTACTGAGTAAGACGTCATCAGCGTGCTCAACAGGAATATGAAGCACGCTCGCGCTATTGAATTTAAATAGGCGAATGTTCTAGCTGTTATAAATAGTATTCCCATCGAGCACGCTGATGAGAAAAATAGCTAGTGTATTTCTATGATGTAGTAAAGTACCAGTTGGAGCATTATTGCGTTCGAGGTACGAGAACGCAAGCCCTAATTTGTGTTGGGTGTTCTGTGCATTATTGAGATTGCATTTTCGTCGTCGTCGACACACATTTGCCTCGCTTTGAGGCGCTTGCTTAGGTTTTGCCTCACTTTGATGCGCTAACTCGTGTGGTGATTCTTGTGTCCTTGGCGTTCATCTTTCAAAGATTTGCTGAGGTCTGATATTCTGTCATCGTAAAGCGTTCATCCTTTAAAGTTTGCTGAATCTTCGTAAAGCGTACATCGATCTGTGTTTGCTGAATCGTCTAAAACGTTCATCTTTCAGAAG